AGTGGTTACCTTGGGATGGCTAAGTAAAATAGGACCCCGGGTCTGTCTTGAATTAAAACCAGGGTTTACACTGTGCGACCTTCAGAATTGTGTGACATTCTACCCGGACGGCGTTGATGGTTGCTCGTGCTATCGATCACTGGTTTGGATGAAAGACGTGTTATAAGTGGCGTGAAACAAGGATCGAACCACGGGTGGTCTTAGGTGCAGCAACTCACTATGCAGTCATTTCAGGATACGCTGGTCTAAGAATGGCCTGATTGTGTTCTTAACTCTGTCGGCAGTGTAACCATGCTCGTCTCCCGCTAGACAGCCTCTGTGGTCGCTTCGCTGAGCGTCTCTATCCGGAGAGCGAAAGGTCAAGGATTCGAGCCCCGGTCACATCGTACGAAAAGACGTTAAAAGATAGTACTTGTTGTTATAAAATCGGCATTTGTCCGGACGAGTACACACGAGCACGCACGCGCGCGCGCACGCACACGCACACACACACACACACACACACACACACACAGAGGGAGATATATATATGCAGGTCTCTATATAAGTGCAATAATCTTGAACGCGACGTTAAACACCATCATCTCATCTCACCTCACGTCACCTCACCTCGTCTTCCACTACGTGCTATTTGCCTACTACATACGTCACTGAAGTGATGTTCAAACTGAAGTGATGCTCAAACTGATGTTGACTCACTCACTCACTCACTCACGCTAAGCAGCTTGTGGTTACTCCCTGACAGGGAACACTCATCAAGGCCAAGAGCCGTGATTCGCCTCCTTCCAGATTCAATCATGGCTTGCCCCTTGACCCTTTCACAGTTAAGTGACCAATTAAGCTTTTAGCCAAGGCGGTTCTTAAAATCCGGATCAGGTTAGAGTTTAGCCCGGCTTCCTTGACCCTTTCACTGTTGAGTGACCAATTAAGCTTTTAGCCAAGGCGGTTCTTAAAATCCGGATCAGGTTAGAGTTTAGTCCGGCTTCCTTGACCCTTTCACTGCTGAGTCTCTGTCCACCCATTGCCTTGACAATGGCAGATGCCATATTAAAGTTATCATTTTGTGGGATATTATATCCCTTTGTTTGATATTTCTCGACAGGGTGTCGTTTCTTATGTGCGTGTTTCACGTCGACCGCATTTTCACTCCCGACCAAAATGTCATTTTTTGTCGTTGTATTCCTGCCAAACCAAAATCACTGATTCGAGGACAAACTTTGAGTTAGACCTTTTGACCTTGTTGAGCGGTGCAATGTAGAGTACAGTGGCAAACTACGATGTAAAGTTATCCGTTTTATGATGAGTCTTCCGATCCTATCATTGAACCCCAGGGCAAATACAACACACTGTTGTATACCTCATGGAATAAATTATGCATCACGAGAGAGCTGTGGAGGTGTGTAACATGGTTGTGATGATGAGAGTGGTTGTTGGGGGCCAGGATGTGTGTGGGGAACCATCCTCTGTTTGGATACATCGCCATTTGTTGCAGCGAGCTTTAGGAATCGGATCCGTGTTTCAGCTAACACCACCCTGGTGGGATCCCAGCATTGGGCCCCCAGTATAGGGCCGCCAGTACAGTGCCCCTAGTATAGGATCCCCAGTATGGTCTCAATCACTGGATTGTCTGGTCCAGACTCGATTATTTACAGACCGCCGTCATATAGCTGAAATATTGCTGGGTGCGGCCCAAAACAAACAAACAAACAAACAAATTGTCGCTCTTTCAACACCACGCTCATTAAATTGCCCAGTTTTCAACCACGCCCCCTTTTGACCATCGTTCTTATTTCTCCTAATAAGACTTCGGTTTATGAAAGAGGTACTTGCTGTCCTCCACAATACCTCGCACCTGATCGTAAGCTTCCCTCCCTTCCCGACGCAGCGAGAACTGACATCTGTCTCTGGTAAATTTAAATTGGGGAACATATGGCCATGATTGAAGTGAAACACGGTCGTCTATGTATTCACGGGTTTATGAACTAACTCACTTCTAAACATTCTCATATCAGATCCCACCTCCTGTGTGAGCTAAACACTTCACCCCCGCACATGTAAACACGTCTATATGTAGCCCTGATGCCCGGATGTTGGAGTAACTAAGTGCGCATATATGTGCTTGTCAATTGGGTAGCGCTTGAGTGTATAGCGTCGATATATGCGTCCTGTCTTGTCTCGAACGGTGTCCCCTAATGTCTCGAACACTGGTGTGTCTCGACGTGGAATAAAACCTCGCTGAGTTTTGTTTGTTGTTTAACCAGAGACCATATACTGGTGGGTTGTCTCAGGTTTAACACAGTACTCAGCGTTATTCCAACTATATGTGGGCGGTCTGTAAATAATCGAGTCTAGACCAGACAATGCAGTGTTTGACAGCGTGAGCATCGATTAACGCAGTTGGCATACGATGCACGGTACATCAAGTGACCTCCTGTTCCTAATGTCTATTGTCCTAAATAAATGACTAAATTAAAGGTTGTGACATATAAATGATTATAGTCAACTTGACAGTGGTAAAGAGCGATTAGGAATGCAGTTGAGCATGTCTTTTACGCCTAAAACATACTAATTGGACTGTATTTACCTGATAGAAGACCCGTGAAGATCCGGGGTAGAATAGGTCTTCAGCAACCTATGCTTGCGGTAAAAGGCGACTATGCTTGACGTAAGAGGCGACTAACGGGATTGGATAGTCAGGCTCGCTGACGTGGTTGATGGATGTCATCGTATCCCAGTTGAGTGGACCGATGCGCATGAAGTCAATCACTGGATTGTCTGTTCCAGACTCGATTATTTACAGACCGCCGTCATACAGCTGGAATATTGCTGAGTGCGGAGTTAAACAAACAAACAAACAAACAACTTGATTGAAACGAACAATATTTCGTAATTCCATAATTCTAACATTTCGAGGGAGATTACCTTTACGAATAATTGAACACGACACACTGCATCTTCCGGTAAGATGGCTTATGGTCCTATTGCTTCTTGTTAACGCGAGACGAGATAATGTGAGACGAGAAGATACTTGACGTTATTTGTTGCGTAGCTTTGTGTACTGTAGGTGAGTATATGCTTGCGTGACAACGAAACCCAGCCTCAGAAATTCGGGGTGGGGGAGGGGTAAGACTAGTCATTAGAACTACTGAAACCTTATTTCACTAGTTCTCAGAATTTGCAGGTAGTCCTACTTTAACAAGACAAACAGGGCAACTTTTTATCAATTTTATTCAGTTCAAATTGCATTGAAAAATGGTTCAGAATATTAGCCCTCAAATGCTTTTAGTTAATGAGGACACGGACTTGTATAATAGGTCCGGTTATATAGGTCCGTGATGAGGACTACCATGATTGAATTGTTTCTTGTCCTCAGTAAAATTTAGTTGTCCCGGGTGACGGGCTAGCATGAAGGCTGGCAATTAGTAGCAGCAGTAAATTAACATTCCCCTTCCACTGTTACCGGAGTATCACAACTATAATCTATCAGAACATGCTTCTCGATAAAACACTCACTTAAAAAGCTTTCAGACCTCGATCAGGCTTCCAATATATGTTTTCACGACAGTAAATATTGAAGACGTTTGTGATGAATTTTGAAGTTGACAGAAGTACTTAGAATCAATATTTGGAAACCTGTGTTAAGTGCAATTAGTGTCAGCTTGTCAATCACTGGAGTACATTAAACGGAGATAGCCTGTAGAAGGGTGTTATCAGCTATCATCTGGATAATACATCTTCACGGGGAACCCATCCCCTGGGTTTTGTCAATTTCATTTTGTCCCGGTCGGGATACAAAGCTATTGTTGGTACCATTTTTATGAAATTGTTAATATATATTTGCCTTTATGGCTTTTATGATCAGCTTTTTAGCGCCCTTAAATTGGCTTTGGTAGACATCGGTTCGTTCCGCCCCCTAATTTCGACGCAGGGATAACAGCTATTATGGCCGTGCAGTTTTCATACTGACCACTGGTCATATATTGTCCTTTGGGACAATTGACCGTTTCCACACCTCCGTTGTTCGACTTAAAGGCGTACACCCCACCCCGCTGTGCCCGACCCCCGAGGCGATCTACACATTGTTCCATTACCATACCTAATTATTTCAAGTGTCGATCCTCAAAGAAACCTTATTCCGTTTTTACTGCAATCTACTTTTTGATCATACCTATTGTAAAACATAATGTCATTTTAGTTCTTTGTTGTTTTGCTAATCCTATCTTTAGAAAAATGTGCTGCCAGTTTCTTTCATGTTGCCGTTTCCGCCATTTCTCATGAATTAATTGATTTTGGAATTAGCTCGACAGGCGTTAGGATTTTCAGTTGTCGTTCGCTCTCGCGTGAATTTGCTATAGTGATTCTGCTGCCGCCTCGTCTCAGTGTATATGACCAGTCAGTCTCTCACCCCACCCCACGCCACCCCACCCCACCTACGTAGATGACCAGCAGCCCCGCGCATGGGTGGGGGAGGGTTTGTTTTCAGCCTGTGTCTATAGACGTTGCCTACAGTCCCGTCCTTGACGCTGTCTTGTACTATAACATCATTTAGCCACAGCACTGATATGGATATTAACTTGCCGCATGTTGCCTGCGGCGCTACATCGATTGATGCTCTCAATAGCTATTTGTCTGCTATCATTTGTGTTTACTTAAGGGTTAATCTAAACCATTTATCAAATTAACCCCACTCTGTATTGACTAGCGATTGGGGGTAATTTCTGTCGTCTTATGGCGCTGCCTGTGGTTCTTGTTGAGAGACAGAATTTCGACCTCATCCGACAGAAGAACAATGTCAAGGCCGATAACTCTTCTACTTCCTGTTTGAATCATCACCCATGTTAATTCAGTGCAGTTAACACACGCAGTGGGATTTACTTTAGACTGATATAACCTATTAATCTTGTCTAATAAAACCATGTTTGCAAATATGTTATCTTGGATCACATATTTCCTCCCTTTAAATTTGCTTTTTTTTAAAAGAAATGTTGTTTGTTTTGTAGGAAACGCAGACAGCAACCAGCTCCAAATGAACGGCAGTTTAGTGTCTCAAGCAACCAACAACCCCCAGGGTAATGGGGGCCCGAACGGAGGGGGTCCGGTTAAAGCGTGTGGGGGGTGCGGTGCGCGCATCGTAGACAGATTCCTCTTACACGCATTAGACAGATACTGGCACACAGGTTGCCTAAAGTGTTCTTGCTGTCAGGCACAGCTTGGCGAAATCGGGACATCGTGTTTCACAAAAGCAGGGATGATTCTATGTCGGAATGATTACATTCGGTGAGTAGGTTGTGGATTGCTTTCGTATTTTGTGACGTTTCAGATCTACTTACATTTCAGATAACCTCCAGATAAGACCGGGTTAGAATTGGCCTTCAGAAACCCATGCTTGTCGTAAGAGGCGACTAACGGGATCGGGTGGTCAGGCTCGTTGGTTGGTTGATGTATGTCATCGCATCCCAATTTCGTAGAGGGATGCTCAAGATGTCAATCACTGGATTGTCTGGTCCAGACTAGACTATTTACAGACTGATGTCATATAGCTGTGATATTGCTAGTGTGGCGTCAAACAGCAAAAAAATAAACAAACAAACGTTAAAGGAAAACGTTTGCTATTTGACCCAGTGCTGTCAAAATAAGTCCTCGAATTTCCAGCACACCGCTGTGGAGCCTCATTCACAATTCGGTGGCACCGGAGGATGGTCATTGTTGTGTTGGGCAACTGTGGAGCAACATTTATGTAGGGCTTTAACCTAGGTGTACGGTCAGTTCAATCAGTCAACATCAGCAATCTATTCTATCCCATTAGCTGTCTTAGTGAGCTTCCAGGTGCATTCATTGGATTGGAAAGCGGTCTCCATTTCACTGAGTGACCAGCACACTGACACCATCAATCCTAATGGCCACCCTAACTGAACAGTGGTGATCTGCCACATACACCGTCTACTGTTGTAACGGGCGGTGATATATTCTCCCATCACCCTCAGACTCGTGGCTTTTCCTAATAACGTATTTGGAATACTACCCCAGGCATGGAAGTAAGTAAATAAGAAATCTACTTTGCTGAAGCTTTTCTCGATGTAACACAAATAAATTTCAAAGCCGCGGCGTTCTTTCAAAGTTGCTAAAATGGGGCGAGGACTAGCGACTCGTTAAGGTTAAATTTCATCCGCGTCTTGTTCTGCCCCAGCGTGGGGTCTTGGAGAAATATCGCCTTTTCACGAAACAGCCGAGTACGCATGGTTCAAACAGCACTTCAATGTTGGCAAATGAGTGAAGGTTCTTTGGGAAGCAGAAATTATTATCCATTGACAGCGCTAAACCCTGGCCGTAATTATATTCCTTGTCTATTGAAAAGGTTGGCTGAACTTGGAGTAAATTGGATGTCCCGCGAAACCGCTGACACTTGTTTCCGACATGTCAGCATCAGAATCAGACTGACTAGATTTGCTTAATACATAGCAACAACAGATATCCTCGGGGGGTGGGGGGTGTATGCGTCAGCTTCTTGGTGAAGCATTGCACTTCACCAATGTACTTTTCTCTCTACTTGCCGTAAAAGGCGACTACGCTTGTCGTAAGAGGCGACTAAAGGGATCGGGTGGTCAGGCTCGCTGACTTGGTTGATGCATGTCATCGATCCCAATTGCGTGGATCAATGCTCATGATGTCGATCACTGGATTGTCTGGTCCAGACTCGATTATTTACAGACCGCTGTCATGTAGCTGGAATATTATCGAGTGCGGCGATAAACAACAAAGAAACAAACAGACTTTTCTCTCTGACCAGGAAGACAATACAGATATTATAGATTTCCTGCTCTGACGTACGCGGAGATTAAGTTAGAAACGAAGTTTTGTAATAGGCGAGACTATGGAACACCAACCCACTCTGCTACCCTGTTTAAACTCCCTCGATGGGAGGAGTCCCTACTGGTTCACATGCTGTTCGGTGTTGTCCTCATTACTCAGACGAAGTTGACAAAGAGAGTATGGGCGTCGTTTTCATTTTCACGATGGCTAAAATTGATTGATATTAGCATAATCCTCATAATGAAATTGCTTTTAACATCAGTATTTTGGCTGAGTATTATCCCCTAACAAAAAACGTCAACATTGGACAAAAGACAAAGGTTTGTCAAACTCGTACAATGAAGGATCCCTTTAAGACAATAACCGGTCCCCAGCATACTTTTCCTTTCTCCTAATAATGGCGCAGGAACCGCCAATCCATTCCGTTATTACATTGGGTAGCCGGGGCTCTTAAAACGTCCATTTTTAATTATCTTGGCAAACGGTGACGTCACGAAACAATTCCTAATTGAAATATGAGTCAGGGACAGAGGAGTATAATTAATTCCCGTGGACGGTGTTTACCCAATGTCGCCAATTCGGAATTTACTTCACTTTGGCGCAATTGGGCCTGGATTAATTTACCGTGACTATGTTGTCAGCCTTTCGCGTTTAATATTTGTAATGGGAACGAATTTTCCCTTTTACATCCAGCATAATTGAATGTGTCGGTCGTATGTTATCTGGGTGATGTAGGGCTTTAGAGCGTGGATCTGTGCAATAATGAAAAATAGTAGATTTATTTCATGAACGTAATTAGATTAGTTGTGACGCGTTTTCCACACATCACTAACGTCGGAATTACATCTTTTTGTGGCGGAGTTTGAGATATGTCATTTATTGCGACGAAAATACGTTTCATTAAGTGTGACTGTTTGTTAACGAATTTCAACTTAAAAGATCACACAAACTGTCTGTTAGGAAGGAATACGGGCTTTTCGGCATTAAAACCTCAAAGTCATGTTCCATGTATGAATAGCGTTGGTATACTTTTGAAACCTAATGAATTTCTCAGTAAGTTCTGGGACCGCCTTCGTGGTCTAGTAGAGCGTCCGCCCGGAGAGCGGTAGGTCCGGGGTTCGATCCCCGGCCGCGTCATACCAAAAGACGTTAAAAGATGGTACTTGTTGTTACCCTGTCTGGGCGGCTCGGAGTCAGTATACTGTGTCTGAGTGGGGTATTCATGTTAAACTGCGGCATGGTATCTCAGTGTTCTAGCACTATAAATCGGCATCAGTCGGGACGAGTACAGTACAGGCAGCCATACACACACACACACACACACACACACACACACACACACACACGTGTATGCACGTCGCTATATAAGTGCAATAATCTTGGACACGACGTTAAACCCAATTTCACCTCATCTGGTAAGTTCTAGCAAGCCATGGCACTGGTAACGCTAATTAACAATCTCTAAAGGAACGTAATGAGAAAGATAGCATCCATGTACACGTGGAGCTTTGTGTGCATAATTACGCTGCAGAGGAGCCACTTAGTGCGTGCGCATCTGTCAGAACTCGACCCAGCACGGCAATGCAGGGGTGAATGCAGACGTCATTCAGCGCCTAATTTAAGAAGTGGAAAAAAATAGCAGAAGCGTGAAACGCCGTTAAGAATAGACATGCCCTCTTGTGTGTGTCCGTACTTGGTGTACTTGTAGTCATGGTCGTGAACGTGTGTTGACGTGAACGTTTGTTGACAGGAAGACTTCTGTGTTATGTCATGCAACAAGCACATTTTTTTATGCCAGTTGTGTGAGTGGCGGGTGGACATGACATGCTTACCCTTTTCGCGAACACTTGGTGTCATCACAGATTTTCAGTAATCCATTCGTATTTTCACCGCTATTCTGCCTATCACGCCCAATGGAATCTGTGTCGGCGGATAATCGAGACTGGCTGTTTTATGGCGTTGGCGTTCTATTTTGGTATGGGCAATATGACTATTCTCAGTTTAATATAGACTAGTACAACACTAGTCTATGAAAACATTTTTTTGAAATAATTGTATTTTATTCTTCAAAAGAACCTTTCCGCTTCTGCTGTTTTGTGGAATCAAGAAAACTAGACTTGGTTTAGTTAATTCTAGACTTGCCTAGGCTTTTAGTAAAATAACTGAAGACGGACGGACGTGTTCATACATTTTTAATGCTCATATCTGGGACACATTGCGAATCCGGGTGAAATACTGGTCCTCATTTTTATGCTAATCTTATGAAATAGTGCCCTTGCATGGGGATGGGGTGGCTTGGCTGATTGTGTGTCATCTACCTCATCAGCGTTCACAACATTCCCTCGCGTACTGACTCACCGAGTCGTGTTTTATGATATGTATCGTTTTATCATGAACTCTTGAATTTCAGTTTTATTAACAGTGTTTCGTGGCGCTGAAATATCCCACCCTTCACTCGTCGTTCAAGTCATTGTTCGTGTATCGTTTAGCAAGCGGATATGAGTTTGACACCTCTCGGATAAGAGAGGAAATATGATTCGTATTGCCCCATTAATAACTCTCTGGCTCCCCCGAGTCGCTAAAAAAAATACCGAACAAAAGACAATCTTAAACAACATTCTTGTGCCTTTTGACAAATATGTAACTATTTCATTTGATTTGAGACTAGATTGTGCCTCTCAACTGTTCCACAATGACGGTTTGGACGTATGTGTTTATGAATTTTCATATTTACCATTAGTATATAGAGGGGTAATCGGGCGAGGCCAATGTGTGCCCATCTACAGGCGATCTTCGCACCTGTGTTGTGGGGTTCAGTGACGGGGTGGCAGTCAATATATATTAGCATTGTACCTTTCTGTTGTATGCGAGAGGTGAGGCGAGAGTGGGTCAGACACGGCTTCTGGCTTGCCGTGGAGTCAAGGGCGAGAGGGTGTAGTGACGTGTGGGGAGAAGCGAGAGGGGACAAGACGTGGGGAGAGGCGAGAAGGTGACAAGACGTGGAGAGAGGCGAGAAGGTGACGAGACGTGGGGAGAGAAGCGAGAGGGTGGGGAGAGAAGTGAGAGGGTGGGGAGAGAAGTGAGAGGCGAGAAGGTGACAAGACGTGGAGAGAGAGTGACGAGATTTGGGGAGAGAAGCGATAGGGAGACGAGAAGCCTCGTCGGGAGAGAGGCGGGTGTGTCTCGAACACAACTACTGTCACGTTGATGAAAGCTGCCATTTTATCTGAGACGCTGCGAATTACGACGTAAGGCTGTTTCCGATCGATACCCCAACTATTGAGAACATATTTAGGTTACGTTGCTCTACACTTTCATCACACACCACTCACAGGATCCTAAACTGGACCTTGACGGCAACAATATGCGTGTAAATATGAATCTTGTCATAAATGTGTTTTGTATCACAGCCAGAATTCACGATTAGCCAACATTACTCGATCTGATAGCAAGGAATAACTCAAGAC